AAAAGAAAAAAAAAGAAAGAAAAGAAAAACAGACAAAGAAGATCTTTTCTTTGAGGGTATACACAGTGAGTGCATTAAATCAATTATATAATTTTGCAGATTATACATAGCCTTTAAAGGCAGCTTTGATAAGTGGAATGGAAATGCTTGGGGAGGGGGTTATTAGAAATATCACACAGACTGTGTCGTGGGGGTGGAGGTGGAAGTTAAGAGAGAAGGTATGGAGAAAAGAGGGCAGCAGCAGTGGTCAGCATGGGCGGAGCAAAAGAGAATGTCCTGGGGAACACTCAGAATGGCTTTTCTCTAGGTTCATTAAATCTCAGCGAATTCACTATCCAAGATTTTCAAAGCCACGCATCTTTGTCTCTATGACATGTAACTTGGGGGTAAGTGTTTTTGAATATGGAAGATTCCTTGACCAAAGATCCCATTGCCCATTATTTCTGTTTCTCTCCCTTGGTGGGATTCTGAATATCCTTGGTCATAAGTAAGGGCACATTCATTTGTAACAGGGCTGTTTCATGGACTATACGAAGTCCTCTAGAACAGTAGTGGCAAGCCTAAGGCGATGTGCTGCAGTGGGCAGGCAGAGCCCTCTTTGTCATCACGAAGGCCAAGCCTAGCATCACTCAACAGCCAAACACTCAGGTTTCGTTGCAGTGTTGGCACTTTGTGATAAGTAAGTGGGGTTGGGTTCCAGTTTGTGTATTTGGTCTCTAAAAGGTTCACCATCACTGTTCTACGATGAAAGTCTGCCCTCTCTGTAGTCTACTGTAGAAATGTCCATTTTTCTCTTTTGGGATCGTTGAGACACACCCTGAGAGCTTGTGATGTTGTGTTTTTATGATCTCTTGGGTCTCCTCTGATAGACATGAGCCCAAGGTGGGGAGATAAGCAGTTCTATTCCAGTGGAGGTGGCATCGTGAGCCAGTAAGTCACCATCACAGATCTGCTTCTCCATTATCCTCTACTGAATCACACCTCACCCCCAGTCTCCCCCAGGACCTTGACATTGCGGCCTGGTGTCAAGTGAGGAACCACAAGGCCCACATAGTGAGTGTAGAGCCCATGTGCTGGTTTCATATTTGATGAAGAGCACTGGCTCCTGTCACAAACACCCCTGTACTAGACAAATGCCAAATGAGTGTAAGGTTGACTGCCTCACACCACATTCTGGTGAGTCAGAATCAGAGGCTCGTGCTCTCTGAAGATGAGCTCTTGAAGTAAGTACCTTCTTCTTGGGAACATGGTACAGGCTGCTAGATAAATACCAGACATTAGACTCTTTCATCTATGTTCTTAAACATTCCAGCTCTCAAAGCAGTGAGAGGCCAGGAAAGTTTCTCATATTGCCTCTTCTTTGCACCCATTCACAGTAGTCCGTACTTGGGCATGGTCTGGTGTGCCTTGTCAGGATAGTTCCACCTGGTCAGAGCACAGCTGAAGACTTTGCAGGCTGCGCTATACAGACAACCCTGTAGGGCTGATTGAGGAGTTCTTTTTGGAGACCTTCTGGGTATTTTATAATATATCTGAGTATTTTGACAACTATACAAAGACTTTAAAAGTGATGAGGAAAATAGTTCAAATTAATGTTGGATTCCCAGATAAATGCTGTCATATGTATTTTTTATTCTTGAGATTGTATAGGATAAAGAAAAGGGGTATTATCATGAACTTGGATTTCAGCCGAGTTCAAGGTAATGTCTTCTTTCTCAGCAAGTTCTTCATGGCACTGGTTCTCATCTTCCTATCTGTAAAACATAGGGGTTATTTTGAACAGCAAGTGAATGAGATTCACAAAGAGATTACTGAAGTGCATGGCATGTTGTAAGTTCTCAATGAGTTTTTATTCTTTTTCTTGAATACACAAAAATGGTTTACCTTGAAGACCTTTCCTTCAGCTACTTATTGAATCTCTCTGACTTACCTGGGTCTTTTCTCTCATCTCTTTCCAAGAACCCTAGGTCTGAGTTCTTTCTCCTTTCACAACCAAAGCCAGAGATGATTTTTTTTTTCATATTCTGAAATTTAACAATTTGTATTGCCTATTGGTATTTCCTAAAAGGGTATTTTTTTGTAGAGAGACTATTTTTCTGCCCAGAGTAAAAGTGTGTCAAAAACAAAGATAATATGTTCTATCCTTTTGGGGTCCCAGAGTTAAGTGCAGTGTTTGCCACGTAACAGTCCTTAATAATTGTTGATCCTGTTTCTACCCAAACCACAAAGTTGTATGGCAATCACATTATTCTTCAACTCTGGAATAATACTTACAGGAAAGCAAACATTTAATTGAGTACTAGCTTGAGGACAGGCATATCCCGCCGCTTCCCCACCCCCCCAGCCACACAGGGCATGGTTAAAAATACTGTCTCTGCACTTTAGATCTTCAGAAGCGTATGCTTTAGAGCAATGAATTTCAAATTTTGAACCTTGTACAAATGCCTACTTCTGGGTCCACCCAGACCTTGTGCACCAGGATATTTGTGAATCTGGACTGGTTGTTTTGACAAATTTTTCAGATGATTGTAGTACACATTAGCATGTAAGCACCATGGGGTTGACAAACCTTCCTGCTGTATCATCTTCTGCCTCTAGATAAACATGATATAAGCATTATTCAGTCAATTGGCCAAATAATCCATATTTGCTAAGTGGCTACTTGGTTGTGTTGTGTTTTGTTTTAGTCCACTTACTGCAAGACTGAAATTGGGGTTGTGAGGTAGGGTGTGGGAGGGGAAGCTTGGGCCCTATATTTGTCCTACATCCTCTTATGATGAGGTCATTGCCAATCTGCTGTGTGGTGACTTCTCTTCACGGTTGGTACTGCAGTAGATACAAGGGTACAGAGAATGGAGATGAACTCAGTCTTTCTAGCAATTTCTTTCACATTTACAGAGGAAGAAAAAACCTACTTGTGTGATACAATACAAATTGTACTAGGATTGGAGGGCAAGAGTCAGTCTTCTCACTTCTGTGGGCCTTAATCTCTTCATCTGTAAAATATAATGTTCAGCTAGAAGATAACTTCTTTCGTACTCTGTCACAGTCTGAGTCTGGAGTTCCACAGATCAACCGGAAGGAGGGAACCACATGAGCCTCCCTAGCTGCTGCTCGCAACTCAGAGCCAGAGGAAGTCCTCTTGGTCACTACCACCCTTACAATAGCAGGGTACTTTAGAAACTTGGGACATTTCTTGATTTGCAGGAATCTCTCAGAGGATTCTGTAAAGTCACTCCCAATAACCAAATCACAAAGGCTTTCAAATCAGAGAAATTAGTAACTTTGCAAATGTGGAAGCTTCATGTTTTTTTTCTCTTTTATGAAAATAGACTTGGAGTTGCAACTTTTAATGTCAAAGTCACGGGAAGTTAGTGCGGGAAGGGATGACCATGATTTTCTAGTAGTTTTTAAAAATGATAAACTGGCATTTAGAGTGCTTATGAAACGTGCCCAAGTACCTGCGTGGTATGAGAAACCAAGCACTGCACACTGAGCTCTGCACTCCTTTCGGATCACTTGTAGCTCTAACGGGGGCAATTCAGGGTGGCACCACCAGCCTAGGAACAGTGAGAGCAATTATGCACCTGAGGGTTATCGTGGGGGTGGTGGTACAGTAGTACACTCTTGAGAAGCCTGCTTCAGAGCACTGCCTTAAGCACAAATGATGATAAGGTAATCTCTGGAAATGCTACCCAGAGGGGAGGGAGCCGTGGATTCCCATTTGGACGTAAGTTAACACTTTCTTCACATGCGCAGAACATTGAACTGAGGCCCAGCCACTTGCAGGGTTTAGAAGGGCTCTCCCTTCTTCCTACACTGCTTGCTGATTTCAGTGTGGTAAGGCCTGTCATTATAAAGCAAATAGGGGATTCCTCGTCTGCGTGGGGAGTCCCCAGTCATCTGCTTGACTGAGGCTGCAACGCTGCCAGCAGAGTGGGAAGCAGGAATTCCACTGCCCTGGGCATGAAAACAAATCTCTCCCCACACCTTTGATCAGGACATCCTGCCAAAAATAAACTCGTGGGTAGAGCTGTTGTTCTTGGCAGGCACAATAGACTGGTTTTTTTTTTTTTTTTTTTCTCCTATTTCCTTTCTTAATAGGGAACACAACTCTACGGTACCAGAAAAAAAGTAAGCACCCCGTTTCTTCTCCTGATCTCAGGATTCCAGGTCTTTTCTCCCTAGGAAATGTTTGCTACCTGTTTTTGGTACATTCTTTCAGATATATTCAATGCCCATAGAAGTGTTTATTTAAACAAATGTGGCAACGTACTTTATATCCCAGCCTTTGTTATTTCACTTAATAGATCTTTTTCTGCCTATTGAGCTTCATTGTCTTTGTAACCAAATGACCATGGACAATTTATCAACCAAGATTCCTTTGTTTTTTGTTTTCCTGTTGAGTTCTGAATTGGTTCAAGTTAGGTTTCTCAAGCTGTTGAAGAGAAGGGGGAAGATCCAATGTGTAAAAAAGAAAAAGAAAAAGATACTGAACTCTATAAAGTTCAGGTCTTATTACCTGTCTCACCTGAAAGTAGGATGTACTTCTTCCTGTACAACAGTGGCAGAACAAGCATGCAGGAAGTTTCCAGAACTTACTCTGAGTGTGTTCTAGGAGTCTGTGGCCATGATAGAGTGACTGGTCACAGACTCTTCTGTGAGAGAATCTCTATGATAGATTTCTTAACCCAAAGACTACTCAAAGAGTACACTGTTATCTAAGTGGGAGTCTGGGACCAAGCAAGCCAAAACAGTACACCAAAGAAGAGCTAGGCAGAAGTGATGACAGATCTCAGATGCTTACATGAAAGAGCAGAATAATCTTCACTTATGTTTAAAGATACTACAGAAAAGCGAAGTCAGCAAGTAATTCTGGGTTTAGTCTTCACATAAAAGGCCAAGTCTTATCCTTCACAGGTCACTGTATTTCTGCTTCACTGGTAAGATCTGTCAGTTTCATTTAGTAATGTTACAAAAATATTCTTTTCTTCCCTTAGGTGCAGCATCCTCCAATTCAAAGTATTAAAATACTACTTACTGGTAAGTATTGCCAAAAGGTTAGTTGATTCATATTTTTAAGAGAATCTCTTTTCTTTAGTCTCTTAATTTCCTCCAGAATACAAGATCTGTCCCCTTCCTATATTTAGAATTGTCAAAGCCTGAATATTGTTTTTATTAGAGACAAAAAAGATACATATACAGAAAAGGGGTGAGTAGTAATACATGCTTATCTCTGTACTTTGTGTGTCTTACTTAGTTAGCCCAGGAATGCTGTGAGTAGGAATTCTTATTTTTGTCCAGCAAAAGAGACTAACTAAGGCTTTACTTTCTACAAGTCTGTCTGGCTGTAAAAGCACATAACCTGCTAATTCTATTCCAAGACGAGATTGTATCTTAACTGAAACTGTGAGAGGCTCTAGATTTGAAAAAAACAGATACTTTGACTACTTGAGAGCATACTTTGGGTCTGTGATTACGTCCATCCACCAGTGAGTTCTACATGAATATTTACTTAGTTAAGTTCTCTGAGCCAAAAGAGAAGTGCCTTTGGCCTCCATAAGTCATGCTTATTTTTCAGTTCAAATATGCCTTCCTGGCCTGGTACAAAGGAAGAATGATTGCTAAAGAACATAATCCAAAACAGGCGTCCAGAGGCAGTTGCCTGGCCATTCAATATGATATTGGGGCTAATATGGAAATAAAATAGCTTTAGTCTTTTTGGCTTGTACTTGAAAGTGGCACATTCTTATCTCCCTGTCTATGCTGAGATTCACATTTGGCTCTGCACAAAGTTACTAAAGCTGTGGCTGCTGCTGTTCCTTCTCCTCCTCCTTCTCTTTCTCCTCTTCCTCCACTTTCTCCCCATCCTTTTCCTTTCTTTTTCCCATGATAGTAAGTCTTGCAAAGTCACCTTCCAAGAAAACTAGCAATAGGAAGTAGAGGGGGAAGCAAGTCTGTGTGCTTGAACTCTTCCAACTGCATCTGATTGAGCCTAATTTGAATCCACATCATTAAGCTTAGGAAACTACTAGTAGCAAATATTGCCAGGAAGTCTGATGCCCAGAACGTGTGGAAAATGTGCATTTCTTGGTGGGGCAGAGAGAGTTTTGAGGGGCTGGGATGTAGCTCAATGGCACAAGTGCCTGCCTGGCAAGTGCAAGGTCCTGAGTTCTATTCCCAGTGCCACAAAAAAAAAAAAAAAAGAGATTGAGAGCTTTGAGACGAGCTAATGAGTGGTGTGTGGGACCAAGCTAGGGGGCACTGTGGTTCATCCAGTGAGCAAGAAAGTAAGTATCAGAGTTGCCAGTGCCTCCCAGTTCTGAAAAGAAGACCCCATACACCTTTCCTGCCATAGGTCTGATATGGCAATTGTAATCTCTCAGTGCTGAGTCTCAGTCCTACCTGAGACTGTCCTGGCCATAGATATGAGTTTTACCCCTTCTTCCATTCTTCATGTAAAGCAATTTCCAACCCATAGGTAGAAATGTAGTGCTCTTTTTCTTTCACTCATTTCATTTTTTTGTTTGTTTGTTTTTCTTCCGGTACTGGGGATTGAACTCACGACCTTGCGCTTGCCAGGCAGGCCCTGTGCCGCTGAGCTAAATCCCCAGCCCCTCTTTCACTCATTTCAGAATCCCTCTCTCTATCATTTTATTTTCACCTGGTTCTTTAGGTAGGGGAAAGCTGTTCTTCAGTGTTGTGCTCAGAGATCACTTTTTTTCTTTTTCAAATTTTCACCATATTCTCTTTAGGATGTGAGAAAGAGAAGTTATCCCTCATCCCAAATGATGCTGAGATCATGAAGGTGGAAAACAACTCAATCATCATCAACTGTGATGGGCTTTATTTAATCTCTGTGAAGGGCTACTTCCAGGAGGAGGTCAGCGTTAGCCTTCATTACCGGGTGAATCGGAATCCAATCTCCATCCCCCTGAGAAAGAACCTGCAGGTTGACTTCACCACAGTGGTCTCTTTGGCTTACAAAGACAAAGTCTACTTAAGTATGAACTCTCAGAATACTTCCTGTGAAGACTTTGGGATGAACGGTGGGGAACTGTATCTCATCCAGCAAAATCCTGGTGGATTCTGTGCTCCAGTGAGGATCTGATAGCAAGACTTCAAACCAGGCATCTGCATGAACTCCAAGCTGGGGGTGGACAGGACAGAGTCTTTCTTGTGAATGTAGATGTTCATCCAGCTCAGCCAATGGGATGTGAGAAGCATATCCTGTTCCTCCACTCAGGGATATTTAAAACATTATTTTATCTACCAATTAATCTTATTTATCCTATTATCTTCTAAATCACCTAACTTATCCCCTGCAATTGCTGATTGCTTTGAGCCCATTAGGAAACTTTGTGAGAATGAAAAACTAAGGGTCTCTTTCATTCACATTGTTTCTATTGGTCAGGCAATTGTCAAAATAACCTTATGCTATTGTAAAGACACTTGACTATCATTTTTCTGGAAAGATGAAAAAGTGAAGAGGAGCAAGGAACAGGGTTATGAATCTGTGAAAGGTGGTATCTACCCACACTGGGGGCCACAAGGACTCCTCCAAGGTTAAATTGGTTACTGTTTACATATTTCCTAAATACTTCTCTCGTTTGGTGGGAGTTCAAAAGGAAAATCATTTTGTGAAAATCAGGGCGTGAGATAGCTATTTAAGAAATATTATGTATGTGAGTGTTTTTCTTTACCACTTTGACTTCTCAGCTTCCAAACATACTTAATAGAAATTTCTCTTGAAAGAATCATCCTGGGTATGTGATACTGTGAAAAATATAATCTGTGACATAAAGAAAATCAAGAAAAAATTTTCTAGAGAAAGTATGTGGGATAATTTGTGAGATTTAGCTTTATCACATGGTACAGCAATAACTAGGCTCTCAGGGTAAAAGTCAATATGGATTTTAACAGTCTGAGAAAGAAATACTATTCTTTGTAAGAGTAGGTAAAGTGGCACATTCTTATCTCCCTGTCTATGCTGAGATTCATATTTGGCACTATGCCTTATATATATATAACACCTAGCTGGTATCAAAAAAATGAAGAAATGCTATAATCAAAGGTGATTTTATGTCGAAGAGCAATAAGAAGCTATTGTACCTTGTGAAAAAAAATGATCCTTGCCTAGAAATGCCATAATACCACATGGGATTTTCCATTGATTATAGAAATTATGACAGTCATCCAATATTAAGGCTTCAAGGAAACAGGATCCCTTCTGTGTACTTTAAATGTCCCCCTTAACTTGATAGTGTATCATATATATAGCACTGAGGAATTTTTTGATTTTTTTATGTCAGATTTCCAGATAATTTGTAAGCTCTTTGTGCTAAAACTTACAAATGTAAATGTTTGATTTTTAAAAATTATAGCAAACATTTTCTGGCTATCTCAATTAGAGGATACAACATATCATAAAATCTTTCTGGATGATTCGGTGTCATCATAGGGATTGTCCTCCCTTGCAGTACAATGGTTATGTCTAAGACCTCCAGGAGGAAGGAGAACTGTTTGTCCCTACACTAAGTGGTCTCAGTATCATTTGGATCTATTTTCTGATAGTTTTCTATTTCCTCTTAAGCATCTATCTCGCACTATATTCTCACCTTTATATTTCAACCTGTTGTTGAAAGATGCTAACTAAATATGAGGTGTAAAAGAACTCATGGATAAGGTAAGAGTAATCAAGCTCTGACTGGCTGCCAAAGTATTCATAGAATTATGATTATAGATAAACACTGAGAGAGGCCCTACTGTGGGCCATACACTGGGTTAAATGATTTTCATGGTTTCTGCAGTGTCTTGATTATTGAGAAAATCTATATTTGTGAGTCTGTCTGTACAGTTTACTTTTTAATTATTGACTGTCTTTTGCAAAGTTGCTGTTACTTAATGAGTGATATCGGAAAAGTAAATGTTTATGATCATAGATTACATTTTTTAAAAGTACATTTACTTTATTTTTGTTACTAGTGATTGATTGAATCCAAAGGCCTTCACACTGAGCTATATCATCAGCCCTTTAAAAACTTAAAGTTTTGAGATGGGAGTTCCCTAAGTTTCTAAGTTGCCCGGGTTGGGCTTGAATCTGTGATCCTCCCACCTCAGCCTCCCAGAGTGGTAGGATTATAGGAACAAGCCACCACGCCCAGCTATATTTGCCTTTTTTTCAGTTTGGTATATGTCTGTATTTCTTGTGGGCATGCCGTGTACAGACCAGGATCAAGCCTCTTTGTTCTTTGGGCTGTTTGATGTGTTTGATGCAATGGTGCTTCCACCCAGATGCCCACTCCTTTGGGAGCTCCTGGTCTGCTCTTCTCATGCTGGCTCCCTTCCCCCATGCTGGGCTTTGCTGCTGAGTACAAGCCTCATCCACCCATCAAAATAGATGTGTTCTGTGTCTCAGGCCTTGAAGTCATAGCCTTCAGTGGGATAATTAACCTATCCTTTGTACCTGAGAGAGAAGTCAGAAGATGGAAATTCTAAGTTTCACTTAGTTATTAACTAGCCAAGGGGCATTGGACATAACTTTGTATTTCTGCACCCTGATATCCTTTCTTGCTAAATGATAAGAATATTAAATGTCCTAATAGTTTAGAATCTTATTCTCATAATGTTAGCTCAAAATGCACATAGTAAATGTCTATGCACTGGTTGTTATTATGTGTTAACAGAGATTACTTACCCTTTTACTATATTGATTTTTTTATTATCCTCATGATAATCTTCCTTTGGCCTTCTTGGGAATTCTTAAGAGAGTTAACAATTGTTATTTAGTGACTTTCTATTTAAAGAATGCTTAAAGGGTTCCAATCTTGATACAGATCATAATACTTTTAAGCATAGTATGTGGTTCCCTATTTTAAACCCTATTTCTGTATTTAGTGCTTTGGTGGTTCTCAGGAAATATAAATATTGATATTAACAATACCACTAATAATAATATTGATATTTACATGGAAAGAAATAAAAGATCTCAAAATTCAGCACTGGGTAGAATGTTAGAGTTACTGTTTGTTCTTTGCTTCTCTGTAATTTGATTATCTAATTTGCTGATGAGGGACAAGTTTTCTGGTCTCCTACTTGTTTTAGCTACATCTTCATTGCTGAGATAAAATATTCAACATCCAAAGTTAAAGGAAGAAATGTTTATTTAGATCACAGTTTGTAGAGGTTTCAGTCCATAATTGGCTGTCTCCAAGGCTGGTTGGCATTGCAAAGAGGCATAGCAGAGGAGGAAGCGTTCATGGCAAGCAGGCAGGAGACAACAAAGCAGCAAGCAACAGCAAGCAGCAAGCAGTGACAACAGCAGCTCTCTTTCTACCCCTTATTTTCTATCCAGGCTATCCACCCTTAGAGTAGGTAGCACTCACACCTGGGTGGGGCTCCCTTAACCTACCCAGAACTATGCCAAACCAATCAGTGGATTAATTTAGTAGTCACTCACCCTTGATCCCAGCATCACACATTCTATATCCAGCTACCTAGAGCCAGCTATCTGGATCCAAAAAGTCCTACCTATGACCTCATGAGGTTTTGGGTGGATATCTAGACACAAGCCATTACATTCTGCCCTTCACCCTTTAAAAATTCATGTACATGCCTTTATACATTTCCTAGAGTTGCCAAAGTCTTGACAGTTTTAGCCCAAGTATAAAATCTCAAAGATTTAAGCTAAACTCTTAGCTTCAAAGCCCTCTGTACAAATGAAAAAAATAATTAAACACTTCCAACAGTCAATAGCACAAGATAAACATTCCCATTCCAAGTAGGGGGATAGAAAGAAATGGGACCAAAGCAAATTCAAACTTCAGCAGGGCAAACATTAAGTCTTGTAGTCCTATGTGCAACATCTGAGGCAATCTGTGGCAAGACGTGAACTCCAAATGGCTCAGGTGGCTCTACCCTTACAGCACTGCAGATAGTTGTAGCTTCCATGGTTTCTCTCGTGGACTGGCTTTACTCAATCATTGCAGCTTTCCTCAGATGATTCATTTCCTGCTGTCTCCAAATTTCTGGGGTCTCCACTGTACCTTCATTTTCACCCTTGTAACTTCACAAACTATCCTTTCCAGTTTTCACACTGACTCTTCTTCTGAAATCTGGGTGGAAACCTTCTTGATCCCACAACTCTTGCATTTTGAATGCATCTAAAACCAGCACCATGTGGATGATGCCAAGGTTTGCTGCCAGCTGAAGCAGTAGCCAGGTTTCCTTCTCTCTTGGCTCCAGGGATCAAGTGCCTGTTTTGCTGAGCACTCTGAACCCCATCCTGAGGAACAAATTCTCTGGACCACTGCCATTCTGGAATGGTGCTCTGGCATATGATGCTTTCTTCTCAAAGCAAATTCTTTCACCTTTGCAACCTTGAGGCTTTTGCAAAGGTTGTAGTCTTACTGCTTTTCATGACGTGCTCAAGCTATCTTTTTCATTGTTCTCTTCCTTCTCAGCAACTAAGTTTTTCTGTGCTCTGTCTTTGCAGTCGACAGCTTTCCTGATGCTTCCTTTCTGTTCAAACTCACAACATTCTTAATCACTCTACTGGGATCTTTGCTTTTGATTCTCAACATAGATGTGGCTAAAAGCCCCCAACAGTAGCCATGCCACTGCCTCAACATTAGACTGCCTAAAAATTTCTTCTGCAAGATTAATTAGTTGGAACCATTAATTTAAGTCTCAGGAAAAGTCTCTAGACACAAGCAAAATACAGAGAAACTTGCTGCCAAGGCATAATACACATTATCTGAAATGAAACAGCCAGTGCAGTCCTTCTTCCTAGCAGAAACCTCCTGGTTTCTCTACCAGCAGCATTTATACTAGTATTTGGGTCTTTGGAGCTCTGACCAGAATCTCCCATCAAGTATAGCTTAAGGCATTCCAGGGCTACTTCTTCAGCCCACATCTCCAAATCTTTCCAAACTCTTCCCACAAGCCCGTTGCAAAGGCTCCTGAACCACATGGTCAGGTCCAGTCACAGCAACAGCCCTATATCTCTGGTACCAAATTGTGTCTTAGATACTTTTATCATTGCTGAAAGAACATACTTGACATCCAAAGTTTAAGGAGGAAATCTTTATTTTGGCTGACAGTTTGTAGAGGTTTCACCCTTTTTATTTTCCTCTAATTTTGGCCATCAGAACTGTGTCCAAGGGGTGATTGAACTGGTAA